TTAGTTTTGATGCAAAAACGCATGATCGCACCGGCTCGCCTGGTGCGTTCCAGCCTTTGTTTTCATAACTTTTAAGTTGCGGTGGTTTATTCGATTTTTTGAAATCGAGGGTCTTGAGGAGGAAAGAATGTATCGCAAATCTCGCCTCATATTATTTTGTCGCATGTGTGGCACGCATCCGCAGATTCTGTTTGTTGACTTCTTCGTGTATCCGTAACAGAATTTTTCCAAAAAGAATTTTATTCAGGATGTACTGGGAAATTATAACTGAAAGCATACCGTCCTGAGATAGCTGCTTACATTGGAGAATGTGGTTGTCATTAAAATCATACCCCATACCAGGTAACAAACCATCGCTATTAAACGTAACGGATCATCTGCTGTTGGAAATTTGTCACCGAATCCAACAGTTGCAAAACTAATAATGCTGGAAACGTGCATGTGTTTTTAGATGCAGTATACATGAACACTCGCAAAAAGCCAGTCAAGAAGCCTCCATGAAGAAAAAGATGAAAACTGCTTTCGGGTGGCAGAGAAGACAATAAAGGTAAATCTTGCCTTGAAAAGCAGACACACAGTAGATGTAATGCCAGGCTAGACATCGGAGTATAAAAATCGGTAATGTTGGGTAGTGGTGACACGTTACGTCCGGATGCGAAAAGAAGTGGTTCGGTTCGATTCCCTCCTGGTCCAGAGTAATTTTCGAACAAGGGCTTTGTTCAGGACACAGCTATTTACATTAGTAGCGTCACTGTTTCCTGCGTTGTATCCTAACTGGAATGTTAAGGTCTCTTGCCAAAGGCTACTTGTCAGCAGACTATGTCTGAGAGACAGCAAAATTGCCTCTGTGATGCTGAGGAGATTTTTTCCTTGATTGTAGTTCCTGATTCTTACTGCTCTCGATCCAAGTTCACTGTTTTGCGCGATTACTCAAAACCCAGACAAATTTGGCGCATTCAATAATTAACCGTGGATTTAGTCGTAGTAACGGTACTTTATGCCCTCAAAAATGTGGATGTTTTTCTTTTCATTGCGAGGGTTTCAAAGATTTCGGAGATATCTCACCTGAAGTAAACATCATCCACAGAGAAACCTTTGCCTTTTTGGTAGAATAACAGTGAGCCAAATGCGAATGTGAGCAAGAACAGTACGAGAAGAGTCGGTAATGGCATTTTAGCATTTTCGCATGGTCGCCAACGCATTTCCTGAATTTCGTAATGACCGCAGTGTAATATTTGAGAAACATTTGAAAAGCGCGATAAAGCAGAAATTTTGCATGAAAAGAAATTTATCAAAACAAACTAACCTGGCCCACGCAAGCCAATGCCATCCAGTATCCTTTTGTAAGATATTTGCCGAGATTAGCTAAAGTTAATAGAGTCATCGGTATGCCAAATATGGAGAATGCTATACAAAAAAGTTGTGCTGCCGGCGATGTTGGTGTAATGTTTCCGTATCCTGCAGGCAACTTGCTTTCTCTACATACTCTTAGTTTAAATCTTTGAAATTTTAAGTGCTATTGGTCTGTAACATCATATTTCGTCCATTGTAATTCGTGCATCACACCCGTGAAGCATCCACAGATACAGAATTAAAATTAAATTTAAACATTCCATGTTAGAGCGGATAGCCCAATAAGACTGATAAGGATAGCAAACGCCTGCCTGCGACTACATCCATCTGCCCAGGTTTCTTAAACCTAGAGAGGGCGAGTTTTCCTTATAGGCTCCACCTGCACCCACGAAACCAGAACTGATAAACTGGGTGTAGCCTGGACAGTAGACTAAAACTTTGCGTCTCTCATAGAAAACAAACATATTTAGTATATTTATTAAGGCTATTTAAAAATCACATGTATTTGGCATATAATATTTAGTAAGGTTGTTTGAAAGTCACATATTCAAAATGATTAGTTAGGTATGAAGTCTATGTTGAATCCCTTAGCTGTAAGC